TTCCTCCTCCTCCCTCCTCCCCCTCCCTCCTCCTTATCATCTCCTATCTTCATCTTCATCATCATCTTACTGTTACCCAGGCTGGTCTCAAACTCCTGGGCTCAAGAGATCCTCCCACCTCAACCTCCCAAAGTGCTGGTATTACAGGTGTGAGCCACCATACCCAGCCTCCTGTTGGTTTTTAAGAGCCAGCTGTGAGTCAGAATATTGGTGAGACTCATAGCTGAATGTGATCCCTTCTCCCAGGAATGCTGGTGCTTATTCTAAGGATGGACATGTTGCTGGTAGCATCCTGGGTGCTGTCATGAGCCAGTGGCTACTGTGGAGAGAACTCACTTTGGCCAGAGCAGAAGTCCGGTCTGGCATTGTTGGACTTTTGGTAGCAATGATATAAAACAGTTGGGGATAGGCTTGTGCCTGCAGGGAAGTCTGGAAGGGCTTCATAGCATTGATGTTTGCTGGACCCTTGAGAAGCGAGGATTTTGGGTAGCAGAGAGAGGGTGTGTAGAGAGCATTGTGATCCTGGACACTTCTGATTCTCTCTTGAATACAAATTTTACTAGGTAGGACTGTACTGTCATTGATAAATTTTATCAGAAAGTCTTTTGGCATAAATTCTGTGACGCTGATTTAGTTCCCCTGTTACACCATTGCTCTGTTTTTAATCCTTTTCCATCTTTATAATACCGAAATTTATTTTGATTGCATTCGGTTCTTTTTCTTGTTAACATTTCTCCTTCATCAGCTCTTTACCCACGTTGCATTCTTGTCAACTATAGCATCTGCCATTATAAATTTGATTGTGGGTTTTATTTTCAGTATGTTCAAGCGTGCCCGTCAAATGTCCTAAGTCTGAGTTGTGTCGTGATTCATTTCTCCTTGGAGCTGGTGTCTCCCATGTGCAGTTTCCACCATTGCCAGTCTTGTACTGCCATTGCCAGTCTAGGAAACAAGGCCGGGTGTGGTGGCTCACGCCTATAATCCCAGTACTTTGAAAGGCTGAGGCAAGAGGATTGTCTGAGCCCACAGGTTCAGGACCAATCTGGGCAATATGTCAAGACCTCATCTCTACAATAAATCAAAAAATTAGCTGGTCGTGGTGGCACATGCCTGTAGTTCCAGCTATGTGGAAGGCTGTGGTGGTCATGAGCATGCCACTGCACTCCAGCCTGGGTGACAGAGTGGGATTCTGACTCAAAAAAAAAAAAGGAAATAGGAAACAGCTCTCCTGGTGAGAACTGGTTGGCCTCTGCCACAGCCCTTCTCCCTGGATGTGCCACCATGCCCTGGGTTCTCTCTGGTCTGTCTTTTGATCAAGATCTGATCTCCTCGTGGCAGAATGGCCGGGTCAGAGCATCTTACCCCAGGGTGATGTGCACAGTATTCCTGGTTGAGGGAACAGTGTTGGCAAAGTCTTGCGGGGCTGGAGGAGCGACGGGGGTTGGGAGGGAAGATATGAGAACCCCTGAGATACCCAACTGAGGTGGAACAGAGAGGAGAAGGAGACGAATTTACTAGTGAAGCATCAAATTCCCACAGTCTCCCAGCCTGGAGGCCAGAGGCACCCCCCACTCAGCCAGTGCCTTCTTCCCTCCTCCAGAATGCCTCAGATATGCCTGAGACCATCACCAGCCGGGATGCTGCACGCTTCCCCATCATCGCCAGCTGCACACTCTTGGGCCTCTACCTCTTCTTCAAAGTAAGTCTTCTGCCATGTGTTGTGTTATTTGGTTTAAATGCTATTTATTTTGTTTCATTTTCCCATCACAGGAGCCATGCATGTTCATTTATAGAAGATACAGAACAGGGAAAAATTTAATAATTCACCCATCAACCCACCCCAAGACAGCCACTGTTGGTGTTGGGGACCCTTTCCCACCAGTCTTTATTTTCTCCATGTAGCTTTTTGTTTTGTTTTCGTGATACCCGTTTGGTTTCATTGTACTGTTTGTGTTGGGATGGGGCATAGGCATACCTCTACCATACTAATCGCCTTTTTTTTTAATTTATCGAGGTTTATTTTCCCAATAAAAGTTACACAGGCTCAGTGTTGAAAACCTGGAAAACACAGAATAATAAAAAGGGAAAAACAGCTGTCATCCAAAACCCCACTACCAGAGACATTCACAGTGCCCCTTTGGAGGTGTGTCCTTCCGCTGTTTCTCCCTGTGCATGGCTTCTCTGTAGCTGTGACTACATGGTGTCTTCAGTTTGTACCTGCTTTTTTCACTTCACATTAATAACATCATAAGCATTCTCTCATGTTACTGTAAACGCAGCTCAATATAATCGTACTGTCACCAGGCGCAGTGGCTCATGTCTATAATCCCAGCACTTTGGGAGGCTGAGGTGAGAGGATTGCCTGAGCCCACGGATTCGAGACCAGCCTGGGCAACTT